ATTTAAATATCTCTGAAGATTGAATACGTGAATTTCTGTGAGTCCAATAGCTGTGATTGATACGTTGATTCCCTGTGGGATTCGACTCCGGATTGTTAACCGGAATATATTTGCAGCAACCGCTTTGTCCTTTTTATAAGGCATAGTTGGACGTGATCAGAATGCAGAATGCATCAAAGCCTTAAGAGAACTAAAGGCGTACTTGTCATTTCCCCCGCTACTTGCAAAACCAGAACCCGGTGAACACTTCCTTATATACTTGGCCGTATCAGAGGTCGCGGTAAGCGCAATATTGGTTCGCGAAGATAAAGGTACGCAATATCTGATCTATTATACTAGCAAAACTCTTGTCGACACCGAAACGAGGTACCCTCACCTCGAAAAATTGGCCTTCGCATTGATTATAGCTTCACGGAAGCTTAGACCATATTTTCAATGCCGCCTCATATCGGTGGTAACAACCTTTGCCCTACGAGGCATTTTGCATAAACCCGAGTTTTCGGGGAGATTGGCCAAATGGGCCATAGAGTTGAGCGAGCATGATATAACATATCAGCCACGAACAGCGATAAAATTGCAGGTACTCGCCGACTTCGTCACCGATTTCAGTGCCAAGATAATGACTGAGGTTGAATAAGAAACTTCTCGTACCTCACCCAGTTTATCCGACCTACGGATCCTATATACCGATGACGCATCCAACGCGTCAGGATCTGGACTGGGACTCGTACTCGAGATCCCAACAGGCAAAGTCATTCGCTAGTCCATGCGGTGCCCCGATATGACTAACAATGAGGCCGAGTATGAAGCCGTAATTGCAGGATTAAAGCTAGCTCTCAAATACGAAGCACGGCGAGTTGTCCTTAGATGCGACTCGCAACTCGTCTTCAACCAAGTCATAGGGACTTTCCAAATCAAAGAGTAGAGGCTACAAAGGTACCAGGCAGAAATTCATAAACTGCTACCAGAATTCGAGGAATGTCGACTCTATCAAATACCCCGAACACAAAACATCGAGGTAGGCGGTCTCGCCAAGTTAGCAGCGGCCACCAAAAACATCATGAAGGAAAGCGTGGTCACCCTCCTCCACTCATCAATAGACCAACTCGAGGTACACTCTGTAAATTTGACTTGGGACTGGCACAACCGTATTATAACATATTTGCAGGAGGGAGAACTCCCAGCAGACAAAAAAGAATCCAAAAAGCTTCGAATGCAGGCGGCCAGGTACAACCTCATAAATCACGACCTATATAAAAGAACGTTTGGGGGCCCCTTGGCGAAATGCCTAGGGCCGAATCAAACAAGACGCATTCTCGAGGAAGTACATGAAGGCCACTGCAGTGCCCATACCGGCAACCGAGCCCTCGTCAGATGCCTCATTCGAGCAGGATACTATTGGCCCACAATGAAGAAGGAAGCCACCGATTATGTCAAGAAGTGCGAACAGTGCCAGAAATATGCCCCTATGATACACCAAGAGGGCGAGAACCTCCACTCTGTCACATCGCCATGGCCGTTCATTAAATGGGGAATGGACATCGTCGGACCCCTCCCAGCAGGGCGAGGTAATGTACGTTTTCTTTTGGTTTTAATTGACTACTTTTCTAAATGGGTAGAAGCACGTGCGTTCACCAAAATACGCGAACAGGAAGTTATCACATTCATATGGAGAAACATCATATGCCACTTCGGCATCCCCGAAGAAATCAGCTGTGACAATGGACCCCAATTCACCGGAAAGAAGACCGCTGAGTTCTTCGAAAAATGGCACACCATATCACCCCGCCGGTAACGGTCAGGCTGAATCCTGCAACAAAACAATACTGAGTATCTTGAAGAAAAAGCTTGAGGATGCCAAGGGACTATGGCCGGAATTACTACCAGAGGTATTGTGGGCATACCGCACCACGCCAAAAACTAGCACAGGAGAAACGCCATATTCACTAGTCTAAGGTACCGACGCCATGATACCAGTCGAGGTCGGGGAACCCTGTTTGAGATACCCAATGAAAGCAGGCTAATAAACGATGAAAACGGAAAACAAGACCTCGACGAAGAGAGGAGCGAAGAGACATGGCTTACATAAGAATGGTAGCCCAAAAGCAACAAGCATAACTGTACTACAACAAAAAGTCCAAAGTACGACAGCAGCAAAGATTCGTACTTTTACTCAAGGCCAAAAAATAAGCAGCAAAGTACGACAGCAGCAAAGATTCGACAGCAGCAAAGTACGACAGCAGCAAAGATATGACAGAAGCAAAGAGACAATTTACTCAAGGCCAAAAAATAAGCAAGCAAAGATTCGAGAGAAGGCAAACTAGGAACCAATTGGGACGGGCCATACAAAATCACGGCAGCAGCAAACAAAGGATCTTTCCAACTGGAAACAATGGAGGGAAAACTACTACAAAACAATTGGAACGCCGCCCATCTCAAATACTTCAACTTCTGAAAACAGACGCCTTCTACGTCGTACTCTTTTTCCCTCATTCGGGTTTTGTCCCAATTGCGTTTTCCCGGAGTGAGGCGATAAAGGGGACGTCTCGAAGTTCAAAGTATAATTCATCGCCCCGCCTGCTGACTATCTCTTCAGGCCGAACGATGAAGGGACTGGATACATGGAAACTTCTCCAATATACATGGAAACTTCTCCAATATATGTATGAAACAAAGGACACATGTAATATTCTCCAATGAATGAAATAAAGCAGCAGTTTTACTCTTCACCAAGACTTTTCACACTTACATTCGACCTCGCTCGAATTACTCACATTCGACCTCGCTCGAATTACTTAACATTCGACCTCGCTCGAATTATGTCACGCCCCGAACCTGGGGAGGCGTGGCTAGCACCCGGTGTCGTGCTGGCCCGAGCGAACCACTCTATAACTCATGATCGTTCGACCAAAACTAGAACATACATAGGTCGAGTTAGCTGGACTTATTCCTTATGTAACTATCGTGGGCAAACATGGCCACAACTCGTAATGCATAACTATAAGTGAGTAACACTGTATCAATAAACTATCGTTCGTAAAACATGAATACATATGGGCCGGCAAGGCCTCTGACATAATGTACAAAATGAACCTTTGTCTACAAAGCCTCTAAGAGTATTTGACATAAAATGGGACTGGGTACTGGCCTATCCATAAGTCTGCAGAAAACTTCTGACACGGTGACTCATAGACTCGGCTGCACTCCGGATGAGGTGGAGTTTTACCGATCCTTCACTAAAGCCAATCTCGTCTACTATGAGGGCTCGTCAAACTGATTACCTATACCTGCAGGCATAAATGTAGCGCCCCCAACAAAAGGACGTCAGTACGAATAATGTAGTGAGTATGTAAGGCATGTAAATCAGTATATAAAGGACATGGAAGAAACATGGAGTAAAGGACTCAACCTGTAAGTCTGGATAATTCTGTAAATCATGACATATTTGTAATGTCATGCATATGCGTATGAATGTCATGTCGTGCACGGGTACATATTTCATAACATCATTAGGCCTCTGAGGGCATCCCATCATATCATCTCGGCCACTGTAGGTAAAATCATCAACGTATACCAGCTGATCAGGTGGCGGTGCGTATATAACGCCATAACCTTTCCCATATCCCATATACATAGATATACGCGTATATAACGCCATCTGGTCATGAGTTAATGTGCATGTATAAATGCATGAAATGCATATGCAATACGTTAATAAAATCTCTCCGTACGTCATAAGACCATTATGCCTCTGATTAATATCATGAAATAAACTTTACCAACTTACGTATTTTTGAGACCCATGAACAAATGATAGAATAGTATGACACATGGGAAATCAAGAACATAAGCATCTCTAGTATTTCTATAAATAAAGTCATTTATGGAAGTTCTGCATTTGCTCGTTTCGTTCGTGTCGTATAGATCATGCCAAAAAGAAAGAAGGGATAACCTTAACATACCTGGAGTAGGGAAAAATCCTTATCTTAATGTTTTCCAAGTAATCCTGAAGAGATCCTAAACATAGCCATGAAAGTTCCAAAGAACCCAGTTTTAAGATGATTAAGGGCCGTAAGAGCGCAATATCAACCTACTGTGACCAACTCTTTTGCCTCATTATCCATCTACAAGATAGCAACTTTTTTTTTTCAAATTAACTTAGCATTGCGCTCCTTGGCCTTCTTGGATTCTGGATACGTGGTCAGACACAAAATCTCTCAAAGAAAACTAAGAGAGCGTAAAAGGCAAAAGTTGAAGGTGGAACTGCAACAACAGATGCATCCATGGATGAATGGCTTGAGGGAACTGCATATACTCAATCGTTTTCCAACATGTCGAAGAAGAAGAAGTGAATGACTTGAGGTTTCTGTATTGGGGAAATTTTATTTATATTTATAAAGGTGACGTGTCAAGACACATGGATTGGTCAAATGGTCAAAGAATCATGATTAGTCACGAGACAGGGGTTACAACAAATACGAGAAAAGAAAGATGAAGAGGCACGAGACATCGGTTAAGAAACACAACGCCCGTACCTATTTAAGCCATTTATATCCGAGAATCAAAAGGAATGAATCTGGCCATATAAAGGAGTGCAGATGCGATATTTGATGGGCATTAAATACTGAATACGTTAGAGCATTTATTTCTTATGTAATGATTGTGTAACAGAGCATTTAGTACATTTAATGTCTCATAACAGCCTCATTATGATTAGAATAAAACAGATATCTTCAAAAGTAGCGATAAAAAAGGAGATATCCGATCAGTTGTGGATACAAAACATTGGAGAATAACATATTGATTTATTTTCTCTTGATTATCATTTTACTCTCCCTAATTATTTCTTTTCTCTATATTTTCTTGATTATCAGTAACCCGAGTTCTTCTAAATTTTAGCTTTGACTGAAATTCCATTTTTTTGTTAAACAAATTAGTTCCGTTACCGGGAATCTGATAATCTATTTCTGCTTTGCATAACTTTCCTTGTTACGTCAACTATGTCGAACAACAATGACAACATCCAAGAAAACCAAGAAAACCAGACAAACCAACAACTTCAAGGAGATCTGCGAGACAATAGTGCATTAGTTCCTTCTCCACAAGGTTCTCCACGGCGATCTCGTGAAGTAACTCCTGAGGGATCTCACACAGATGGACAAGCTCAATTTGAAAATGCTGAAGCTATGGATGAAGCTTTACAAAAACTTATTGCTACTCAAGTCAACAAGGCTTTACAAGCTTTTGTTAGTCAATTACCTGTTGCTCCGCCCACACCAACTCCGAATAACAATACTTTGGAGAATCCTCGTTCTGGACTGGTTAATTCAGGTAGCGGTGGAACCCCCAGTGAAACACAGGAGGGAGAACCAGGTAATCCCGTTAATTCTGATTTACAAAGTCTAGTACTAACATTGCAGAAACAGCTCAAGGAGCAAGGTGACCGCATAGAGCAAATACCCGGGGTACCGCCCGTGATCAAAGGGGTAGATGTAGATAAGTATTCTCAACAGCCCTGGAAGCCAAGTGCCGCCCCTCTCCCAATTCCAAAGAAGTTCAAGATGCCTGATATTCCAAAGTATGATGGGACAACAGACCCGCGAGATCACGTTACTGCATTTACAACAGGTGTCAAGGGCAACGACCTGACTAAGCAGGAGATTGAGTCAGTCTTGGTCAAAAAATTTGGTGAAACGCTCACTAAAGGAGCGTTAACATGGTATTCTCTTTTACCTGAAAATTCTATAAATTCTTTTGCTGAGCTTGCAGATTCTTTTATCAAAGCGCACTCGGGAGCTCAAAAAGTTGAAAAAAGAATGGAAGATATATTCAAGATCAAGAAAGGGGACTCAGAGCTACTGAGAGAATTCATGGACAGATTTCAACGGGAAAGNCAACAGGAAAGCTACGCCTCAGAGTTTTTTAAAATAGGGGACTTTATGCTCAAAAAAGTTTTTCAATCCACAAAGGCAGCTAATACGGGAAAATTAAGTCCAACATGGGAAGGACCCTACAGAATTTGTGGTATTGCTGGCAAAGGAGCATATGAATTGGAAACAATGGAGGGTAAAGTGCTACCTTCACATTGAATGCAGTTCACTTGAAAAGATATTATTTCTAAGAATACCCGCGATCAGGTATCAATCTTTTAAAGTTTATTTTTTGGATTTATTAAAATTTTACTAACGATTTTAGATGCTAGGAAAAAACCTAACCCGTACTAAGTGATGAGTCACGACATGTAAGGCACACAGAATAAACTAAAATTCATGGCCTAGGGTTACAATTATTCTGATAGAAATACAAACAGGTTAGCCAGTCTTTATCTAAAATCGTACCTCCGAGTCCCGTGTGTTTTTCCTTTTCAGGAAAAGACCAAAAGAGGGAAACCATCAAGTGCTCGAGGCTTCGTACTTCAACACTCAAACACTTGGGGGACTACATAGTATACACAAGTATGTATAAAGAACGCAAAGAGGATTAAAGAAAAATCATGCCTGAAAAAAGTCAAGTGGACAAGTGCAGAGTAAAAGTCACGAAGTCATGAGCCAAGGCTAAAGAAAACCATATTATAGTTAGGGTAAAGCTATGTACTAAAGCAAGTTATGAGGAAAAACCTTGCATATGTTATTTTAACGGGTTGTAAAGACAAAACCTCGTGTTTATTATTTTCTTATAAATCTGTTACAAGAAAAACAGTTACGAGAAAGTTATAGATGTAATTCAAATACATGTAAAGTATTATTTAAAACTTGTCAAAGTTTAGAAATAAAAACTTGTCTAGTTAATTCAAAGAAACATGTATGTTCCTATTTCTTTTATCGTATGCTAACACCATTATGAAGTTGAGACGTCTTCTTCATTAAGTGTCGAAATATAAAAGGGCCCTCTTTTATAAAACTCATGTCTAAATCATGAGGTTAACAAAAGCATTTTTAAATAATAAAAATGCAAACTTATCTATAAGTCCTTACG